AGAATGTCGTTGCAAGAGCCTCAGCAGATTTTTCTGTAAATTCTGGCACACTATCTCCATTGCCTGACACGAATCGTGACACCCTAACAAGTATCGACTATTTAGTGATCAAATCACCATGCAAAGAAAAGCAGACAAATGTTCCTGAAAGATGCCCATTTTACCAACTTTCGCAAAAAGACGAGCAATTTCAGCAAAGGCAACTCCACAAACTCCAGGAACTACAACGGACACACCAACAAGAACGACGACGCAAAGCAAGCGTCTTAAAACAAATTCAAGAAGCGAGGCATCTTCGCATAAGGGATCGGCGCCAGAAACGCATTTCGCACAAAAGATCAAGACTGCGCCTAAGATTACAGCTCCGAAACCTCAGGAAACACCGAACAAGACAAGAAGTCACCAGTTCCACCACGCAAGGATTCAGACACCATCCCATTAGTTTACGACAACGAGCACGCACGCAGCAAAGACAGCGACGCCGAAGACCGATCTACTGCAACGCTTTCAAACAGCGTCCACTCTTCGCAATAATGCCAGCTATTTCATCAGTCTCTACGTCCAAAGCATTCTTGTGTTATCCAGGACGCAATCATCAAACTCGCCCACCAGATCTCTTATTGATATCACCGGACTGCCACACTCTCCCTTCAAGTCTTAGCGACGAAGAAGACAACACGTGCATTTTAAAATTTGTGAGACTACCTCTTTATTTTGACATTGGTGACTTCCAAGCCACTCCTTGTTTACTTTTTCTTGTTTGTAAGTTGTAACTCATGCCTTCTTTCGGGGGGAGGGGGAATCATGTGACGTATGAAGGTAGCGATGGTTGGTAGAAGCCGAGGAGGAAGAAGTGCTTATAGAAAAAACATGGCGTATGAGCCAGGCCACGTCTCCCGCATCTAGCGTCATATATTTATATATATATATATATATATATATATATATATATATATATATATATATATATATATATATATATATATATATATATATATATATATATATGCAGTGAGAAATTTCAACTTCATACAAACCGTATAGATTTAGCAGACAAAAATTGTTCACTTGTACAAAAACAAAAGGCAAGTTTGCAATCGGTTCACTCAGTTTAGGAAAGAAAGTACACATGTCCAATGATGATACTCAGAGGTGTGCGAATGATGCAATTGAGTACATAATCAAGAACGAATCGAATAGTGATGGTAGCGAATCGATCGAATGCAAATGGGAATTTTTTTACAGAAATACTGCAGGCCACATGACCCATGCAGGAGTAAAAATACAAAAGAATCATAACCTTGAAAAAAAAAGGAAGATAACGTAACAAAATCTGAAATTAATGACAGTAATACTTGTAGTGAAAAGGAAATGAAATAAATGCGTGTGAACATAGTAAGATACAATGTAATTATTAAACAAATGAAATAGAACCAATTTTTCTTATCTCTAGCAAGCTGGACTGCTTACAAAGTAACCTAGGAGGAAGCACTTGACTGTGCTAAGGACAACAGTTGGTCAGGAGACAGATCGTTCCAATCAGCAATCATTAGTCGAAAGAATGAGAATTTAAATAGATTCGTTGTGGAAGCGTTGATCCTTTCACCGGGACTACAATGAAAAAACCTGTTGGGGTTCCATAAATGACGTAACGGAAAGCTGGGGGATATATGAAAAAAATAAACCGCAGAGCCTTTTGCTTGATATTTTCAAGCATGTTAACGTTGTTGTTGGTGTACAGGTCCCATATTATAGAAGCTTAGTCAAGCTGAGACCGGATCAGGTGTGTGGCGGTGGATTTTCAAGCTTGTGTCATATAAAGCAAAGTTTGCGAAGAGCAGCAGAACATGTGTTAGCAATATGGGTATTCCAACTTGACCTATTTAGTAGAGTCACACCTACTTACTTAATATTCGCAGACTTCCGCTAAGGAGTCAGGACCAATGAAGTGAAAAAAAATTATGCGGGTAAAGTCTTTTTGTGACGCGAAGAAGTACAATCTTATCAATGTTAAACTCCATGCCCCCTTCATCACACCATGTAAGGCGTGAGTTCATCGTCTGTGAAATAATATTGTATTATAATACACAATCGTATACAAATAAGCCTACCTTTATTGCTTCATTGATAACTGAGACTAAGTCATTTATGTAAGTTAGGAACCAAGGTGATTCCAGGACATGGCCCTGGGGCACCCCTGAAGACACCGGAAGAGTGCCTGATGTTTTCTCGTGTATTTTTACATATTGTGTGCGGTTGCTCAAATAGGCGACATCCCGCGAAACAAGACAGCCGGGAAGGCCAATCTTGTATATTTTTTTTATTATTTTTCATGAGGAGCGCGGTCAAAGGCTTCGCTGTAGTCTAGGAAGATCATGTCGACCTGACGGCTGCTGTCAAGAACGGATGCTAAAAAATGGACAACAGAAGCCAATTGAGTAATGGGGGAAAATCCTTTTCAAAAACAATGTTGGTGTGGTGACAGTTCGTTATTGGCATCTAAATATTTAGTTATACAAGTAGCCAGAATGCCCCGCCGCAGTGGTCTAGTGGCCAAGGTACTCGGCTGCATTTCTGATGGAGGCGGAAATGTTGTAGGCCCGTGTGCTCAGATTTCGGTGCACGTTAAAAAACCCCAGGTGGTAGAAATTTCCGGAGCCCTCTACTACGGTGTCTCTCATAATCATACGGTGGTTTTGGGACGTTAAACCCCACATATCAATCAATCACCAATCAAGCTAGCTAGAATATCTTCAACAAGTTTACTACAGAAAAATTATATATATATATATATATATATATATATATATATATATATACCCTTGAAAAAGACAGGGTTCCTGTCGAAACGTCGGCACAATAAACAGTTGTTATGTGAAAGCGCATCTACTTTCATATTTATAACCTTGCGGCAACCGAAGTTATTCTTCTGCATATAAGCCTTATATATATATATATATATATATATATATATATATATATATATATATATATATATATATATATATATATATATAATATATATATATATATATATATATATATATATATATATATATATTTATTTATTTATTTATAGGGCGATAATTTAACACTCGCAACGAATCACCCTTTTTCAGTATGGGAAACACGTGTGCTGTTTTCGAGTCATGAGGGATGTAAGAGGTTTATAAAAAAGATTAAAATATTGTTACAAGAAACCTAGCTAAGGACTCAGCATATCGGCAAAGGAATGCGTTATGTATTCCATCCCGTCCGCGAAATTATTTTACCTTTGATTTCAGTAGCATAGTAGAGACTCACTCCTAAGACGCAAGGTCAACCTCAGAAAAATTCCACGAGGAGCCAGCGGTACGATTCTCAGCAGTTGCCGAACAGCTTTCGAATATTAAGGCAGCCATTTTCAAAGCATCTGTAGAATTGTGATGTAACCATTTTCGAAACTGTCGAGAAATTCCACGTGATTTCATTTTCAAAAAATATTCACCGGCTCGGACACCGAAACGTTAGAATTGTTTTCAACCGGCCAAAAAAAAAAAAAAACTACTATTACATAAACGTCGGTAAGCTCGCATACAGCATCTACGAGAGCCTTAGTAATATTTTGTAAATGCAGACTGGCATAAAGCATCGACTAGGTTATTCAAGGTGGCATTGTGTCAACAGATTTTCAATAAAACCTATGTATTAACATTAAACTACGTTAGTGAGGCAACATTACCATGAATTTCAAAATGAAGATAGTCGAGTAATGAATCAGTCGCTTCGGCTACCCTTGAGCTGGCATCGATAGTCCCGTCATACATTTCTCTGCATGCACCTTGGAAATTCGACGAATAATGTAGGAAATTATCTCCTGTCTGTTTTTAACGTTTTTGTCCTCTGAGGCTTTTTCATCGGCGCTTATTGTTGCTGTGTTATTGCATAGCTTTGAAAAAAAAGAGCTAACTCTGGAACCTCCACAGGTTCGTTGCCAGGCTTTGGAGAACCTTGTTAATGTTGCATTGACATAATTTCAATGTTTACTTCAGAGCTACTAGTGAAACTGGCTTTCGTTTCAAAATTGTTATCAGATTTACTTTGTGTGAATGCGATACACAACTACGCAGCCCCGTTACGAAAATCAATGAACATGTTTTAATTTCTAAACACCACTGCTCTGCTAAAGGCCCATGTCATTTAAACATAAATAATATTCCTGCAACTATCAGTCAGTAGCATTCCCATTTAATATTGTTTATTTTTACACTGAAAATTGTATTTCTACTGCGTTCTCCTAATTGAGACATTCCTGCGATCTACGTGCTCTTAAATCTGGGATTGTAACGTTTACAAACGTAACCATACTGCCGTTTTCAAAGAAAATGTCAGGATGCAATAGACGCAGTCAGACCTCCTACACAAAAATATGAAGCACTAGTCTGTTTGTTGCAGCAAGCCATGTCCGCGATTTACAGAGAGGGAGAGGTCCGAAACCACGGTGGTAATATAAATAGGCAGCGAGCGCGAAAAAGCAACTCGCCAATCCCCGCGATGATGCAACGTTGTCCCTCGTTCGTGAACCTCTCTTCGATTATCATAAGGAGGTGAAGGAGTGAGCGTAGTAATCTGATCAATAATTCGTCAGCCTGTTCCGTGCGGGAGCTGACTAACAGAGCAAACCGCAGACGCCGCCGGGAGCAACGTTCTTTCTGTCTGGAAGTCCATTTCAACACACCGCCAGGCCGGACGAGTTCGGGCGAAGCGCGCGCGCGCGCCTAAAGAAGGGACCAGAAAAAAACAAACTAGTCAGGAAACGCAGCGCGCGAAGGCGGCTTCCCCCTTTACTCGTCAGGTCGCGCTAGGGGCGAACTCGTCACGTGGCTTTACCTCATCGTTTACGTTTGTGAAGTTGAGTCAAGTCAGGCGAGGGGGCGAGGAGGCGGCGGCAGAGAGAGGCGTTTTCTTCGCGCGATTTGTACTTTATCCGCCGCGCGTCGCCCCAGTCGTCTGGCGCGCCGGTGTCGGGCACCCCCCCTAACCAAGCTAGCGCGAGACGGGCCGATGCTCAGCGCGGCTGCCCCGACTGGAGCGAGATCGGAGTCGCCGGCGTTCCCCGTACACCGGGCACCAGGGAATTCCCCGGGCGGCCTGCTAGGGAAATGATCCTCATGGAGTCTCGGACGCCCGCCGACGGCCCCGGGAAGGTCCCCAGCAAGCTGCCGGGCACCTCCTCCGGCGCCGCCTCGGCGACCTCCGCCAGCGTGACCAAGACTTCGGCGAAGACTACGACGACCCGAAGTCCCCAGTGCGCCCGGTGCCGGAACCACAACCGAAAAGTGGCCGTGCGTGGCCACAAGCGCTACTGCCCATACCGCATCTGTGTCTGCCCAAAGTGCAATCTGATCGCCGAGCGCCAGGTGGTCATGGCGCAGCAGGTCGCGCTGCGCCGAGCCCAGGTCCAAGACGAGGCGAGCGGCCGAGCAGTGTTCGAGGAGGTCGACCCCAAGAGCTTGCTCGACCAGCCGCCCCCAACGGACGTGGTCAAACCACCGGCCCTGGTCAGCTCGACAAACTCGTTCGCCGCCAACGGTGGGTGTCTCCGCTTATGCCTCGCGCGCACCACCGCTGTGGGCGCCGCCAAAAGGGTTAACAGACCGCGACCGGTAACGTCTTCGAGAACAGCGAGAGAAAGAGGGGACGAGGCGAGGAAGTAGCGTTCTTCCAGGGGTCTGCCGACTCGCAACCCCAGAGACGTCGCGCGTCCGAGGAACCGCGAGTGCGTGCGCTTCTCTGATCTTAGGCGTCTTGGGAACACTTCCGCGACAGCAATGGCGGCGGGAAGGCCTGTTGCGCAAAACTCGTGCCGTGCAGCAACAGCACACCTACATTGTTCGCGCACTGCAACACCGCTCACACTCTCCTTCCGGTTTTAGGGTTACACATTTGCCGATCCCGAGTGAACTATAATTGGCGGTATTCTCGTCTCTTGCACGGTAATAGCGACGATCTTTAGCTTCCTGGTTTGATCTTAGAATCGACAGAGATATTGTATGGAGGCATGAATAAAGAAAAAAAGTGATCCGAGCCGTGGCTCGGAGGAGAACACACACGTGGCAGTATCTGGGGCGACCAATCGGCGCAGTTGCCATCCCGCCGGCGCCATGTCTCCGGGTGTGACGTCTTGAACTGACGTATCTGCATGCCGAGCGAGGCAGGCAAGTTCATTCTGGTTGGCGGAAGCGCCTCTTTGCATGCGCTGGTTTCTAGGCAAGGGTCTGACCATAGCGAGTAGAGAGCGCGTACCTGGGAACTGCGCGGCCACGGAGGGCGGCGATCCACTCGGGAATATCCTCATTAGATGTAACGATAATTTGTAGCAATCTTCGCGCGCGGTGCAAAAGGGAGGGTGCAAATAAAAATGATCCCTCTGAACGCCGCCCAGTGTGGCCAGTTGGCATGCCCGAAGGTCTTCCGCCATTTTTTCTTTGTAATCTTCTGCCGCGGGCCCATCGTTTTTCTCTCTCCCTCTTTTCTCTCGCTTTCTCGCTCGCGCCGTGCCTCGGCGTTGTAGTTGCTCGGTGCGAGACACGCGAAGACCTTGAAATCTCACTTTAGACTAATTTTTTTCGTAGCGTGTGACCTCAGCTTCATTATTTCTTTCTCGCTATCTCTCTGCCCAGGTCAACGGGTCTTGTACCAAGTCAAAGATTCGGGACGATTGTTAACTTTCTGTGCTTTGGTGCCAGCGCTTCCAAGTGCAGCGAGCAGCTATCTACCCTTAATATTTGAATACTCTGCCCGAGTAATTTTTGCCGTTTTTTTTTTCGCTTTTACTTGCCCTTGTGCTAAAGCTATTCCTGACAATTTCTGTAACAATCGATTTCGTTGCACTCCTCCCTCGTCCCGCCGATTGGCCCATGCTGGCCCGGCGGTGGCATGGAAGCGTCTGACCCAATGGCTAAGTGCTAAGAGGACGGAAAATGAAACCGATTGGCGCGACATACGGTCCAAGATTCGTTATTGTTATTATTCGTTTCGATGCAAAGAGTGAAGTGCAGAATGAGCTTTGACTGTGTAAGGAGTACGAAATTAGAAGACAGGACAGGCTCTGCCACTCCTGTCTTCTCAACCGTTTCCCATTTGTTTTGCGATATAATCGGTGTTTGTCAAGTCTTGAAACGATTAGGACTGTCCACCATGTTACGATTATATTGCATGGCGTGTAGTGCAACATCGATGCACGGCATGTGGTACGTCGATGTTTCACATACAGCACTGACAGCGCTGCCTTGCATTGCATTCGTGCACTGTCATATGTTGCAACATACACAGGTGTAGTATGCACGGGCGCTCACCATGTTGTACTTAATGGACTTGAAGCGTTTAACAAGGCTGTTTTACTTATGCAGTATGGATGATAAACTGCAAGTGACGTACTTCGTAACAATATGTGCCTTTCGAAAGCCACATATTGTTACGTGTGTTCGCGATGGAGCTGCTTAAATTTAGTGTGCAAGGCTGCGATGATGTTTATGTCGTTTTCGCTACGCTTTCTAATAACTGTTAAAATATTCTGAAGGTGTTGTCAGCTCTCCCTTTCGGGGGTTTCGGATGCGCCCTGTCATTGTCTTACGAGCATTGATTAGGGTTGTCCGATGGTTCGATTGTGTGTGCCACAAGTGAAAGTTCTGAGTCACTTTTGGATGGTCTAACAAAAGAACAGGAAGGCTGCTGGTCAACCAGCACCCTTCCGGTTTTTTGGTCTACTTCTATACTTCGAATTGTCTTTCTCCTGCTTAGAACTTGCTGCTGGTATTTGGTATCGAGCATTATGCCACGCTTTTATTCTGAAACGTTATTGCTGAACCCTTTGTCATTGAACACTAGGGAGGTCTCCAGCAATTTTAAATATTCGTAACCTTGACATGACAATGCAGTTTTGCAGTTTTCATGAATTATTGCGCTATCACTGCTGCCAATTTGTTGTGCACATTGTCTCTGACTTCAATGTTCGCACCACCATCAGAATACTAGCGATCTGAGGGGCCCTTTTGTATAAAAGCCCTTTGCCAGTTAAGATTTATGTTTGTTCACAGATGTCGCTCACTATACTTCATGTTACACATTTCCTGTCAATGATACTGGCTTAACCTTAAAATTTGCGGTGAAGTGTTAAATTTACCTCGTTCTAAAAGAGTTGAAATGGTTACTACGTGGGTCTTGTTCGAAAATGTCACTCAAGCAGAGCATTAGGACATCTTAAATATTATTTTGGCTGTCTTAGATATAGTAAGCTGCAAGGAAATTAGGTGTTTTTATCGTGCTTTGTGTTACCCACTGGTTTCGATTAAATTTTTGTCAGGCTAACTGCAATAGCCGCTCTTCAAATGTCACTGAAAGCTGCGCATTCCTTTTCGTCTACGAGCAATGGTACATAAACGAGAAAAGTACGCGTAAAGTTTCACTTTTTTTAGCAAGGCTGTGAATAGTATAGAAGCTAGAATACTTTGATGACAATTTTGTTCCTGGCCTCTATAAGAATATTGTGGTCACTGATAGCACACGGAGAGCAATATACATTTTTGTATGAAACTTGTGTCAATAGTGTGTCGTGAGATTATAGATCTCAGCAGATTAATTAACGGTAATATATTGAACGTTGTGATTGGATATATTTAGACTCTGTGATGCTGCGCCATCGAAAAATGTAAGTGATGCCGTGTTCTTTTTCGTTGCTGGCCCAAAATACGAGGACTTGTGTGATTAAAAGCTGGCAAACCAAAACTTTGTATATACTCTGTATTTTATATTTGGTCACTTGAGATCAGAAATGGTCATACTGCTCCTAAACGTTATTTCTTAACAATGAGAAGTACTTTGCAGGAACACAGCATAAAAAATGGTCACTTTGTGTTGCTTTTATTGTGCGGGTGCAGCTATTAAAACATAATTGTTTATACTCAAGTTGCCCTTACACATTTAAGAGTCTTTACGAAGTCTTATTTTTTTTCTCAAGCCGTTAGATGTTTTTGTATGTTCACACTAAGTGCTCTGGAAACATATATATTATACTGCCCCCCAACCATAACGTGTTTTGATTAAAACCTGCTAACATTGTCATACTTCGATCTACCTAGGTTTTAGGTAGATTTTTGTTTTGCGTAGCTTATGTAAGGATTAAGAGTCATGCCATAAAACAAACCTGACATTGAATTTTTACTGAAGTCAGTAATTGAGATCGTCGAATAATGCAAACGAGCCGCCAATACGCCACATAAAAAAGAAACCTGAGCGATGGCTCGGAAAAACAAGAGAAAGGTAAGAGCGATGTCTGTCCTTTTTTACATTTTTGTATTTTCGTGTGCTTCGTGGTTTTAATCAAACAATTTACTTGTACTCGCGTATCTTGAATGCAGGTTTAAATTAAACATCACGTTGTTGCTGTCTGTAAGCAATATAAACTAGATTTATCTTGTTTATGGTTGCTTGTAATTGCTGCTACTTCGCCTACTGTAGACCAGTCAGGCGGCAAACTATAAAGCGAGGCCCCGGGATAATGGTAGCGGTAAGTGAGGTGGCGGCGACCAGTTATATTGCCCACTGTTTATGACTTGACCTCTTCTTTTACTGCCCTGGTCAGCTGTAAGAAGGTGTTAGGTATATGAGTTAAATATTTGGCCTCTCACATTGCGACCGCGTAATCCTCACAACTCATAACGTTCACTCTCCGTCAAGTTACGGCTGCTCATTTACAGTCGTTAAGTTTGCACGCTTCGAGGGACCACCTGACTTCCCCGCTGGTGTTGACAGCAACAACGTGTATGATGAGCAAGGATCACTTCTTTTAGTAAAGAGCTTGCGTCGCCTTTGCTGATTTTTTTTATCCCACGATGCATTATGCAAGTTTCAAGTAAAAGCAACCGTTATACTTGAAACTTGTATCTGCAGCTGGGCGCGCCCGCACATACATACATACATACATACATACATACATACATACATACATACATACATACATACATACATACATACATACATACATACATACATACATACATACTACATACATACATACATACATACATACATACATACATACATACATACATACATACATACATACATACATACATACATACATACATACATACATACATACATACATACATACATACATACGTGCGTGCGTGCGTGCGTGCGTAAAATCTTCGTTCATTTTGACTCTGGAGTGTTAAATAAGCAAAATACCTGTTTCAGACTACGCTGGCAGCCACCACCGCAGCCCTGATGTCCTCATCACAGCAGGTAAGCTCTGACGTCACAGTGTACGTGCTCGCTATATAAGCGTCAGGGTATGATTGCGATGCCTCTAGTATGCCTAAGATTTCGATGGTGCTGTTATTTTTGTTTTAGGGATCTGGTGTTTATTGTAGCCTTAGTTCACCTCGACGGATAGAGAAATTATTATTCCTATATATTTACTATATGCTTGTCACTTCTTCTAGGAAATGGGTTGTCGCTACCTCCGATAAATAGAAGCGATAATTGTACTTCTCTGTTAAGTGTCTTTATTTCGATGTGGTATGTGTTGCAAGTCAACGTTATAATGCTAAGTAAACTTCTGTAGGTGAATGGTTGAGTGCGCTATTATTTCTGAAACTTCGTTTGAGTTTCTGACATGTTTTGCATTGCCTGTCCATTTCTGTGTATAATTACCAGTTTGTACGCTACAATCCATGTAGAAATGGAGTAACCAGGTAGGTACAAACATCAACCTCTCCGCGGCAAGCAGGCTGACACAGACCAGATCTCATTGGCTATGTGATAGGCAGTAGTTTATATATAGATGATTTGATATGTGTGGTTTAACGTCTCAAAGCCACCATATGATTATGAGAGACGCCGTAGTGGAGGGCTTCGGAAATTTCGACCCCCTGGGGTTCTTTAACGTGCCCCCAAATCTGAGCACACGGTCCTACAACATTTCCGCCTCCATGGAAAGTGCAGCCGCCGCAGCCGGGATTCGATCCCGCGACTTGCGGGTCAGCAGCCGAGTGCCTTAGCCACTAGACCATCGCGTCGGGGCTGTAGTTCAGATATACTGATCAATCTTATGCAAGACGACTTTTCGAATGCGCGGCAAGGACGGGCACAATTTCGTCTGCAAACGGAGTGACTAAAATGACATTGGAAACTTGGAGACTGAGGCACACCTAATATCTTGCCTTTACTGCGGCTAGTTTATAAAGAATCAGATAAAAAAGTATTAAGAAACGAAAATGAGCTGGAGGTGGAATGAAGCATTGTCATGACGTCAAAAACAAGATTAATATTCAAGTGTCATCGCTAGTTACTGTATTGGCCGGTAGACAGGTGCATCATGGGCACCGAGCACAACTGGATTACTGCCTTCATATGAAAATCTCGCATGGTAAATTACTACGCTGATGATATCTTGAAGTTAGAGCATCTGTTATAGTGTGATTTCTCGTGTAATCTGTCTACTTTTGTACTTTTATGCTTTAGGTATTTATTTATTTATTTATTAGAATACCCTCAGGGCCCGTAGGGCATTACAGAGGGGGTGGGTACAACATATATAACACACAAGAAAAAAAGACAAAATAAAGAAACAAGTATCAGATGCGCAAATCAGGAAGGCAACATAAGTCAACTAAAAATGTATAAGAATTCAAGCACATACAAGACAAAGATAGATAATGAAAACTGCGTATAGTTACAAGCATTGCTGAGAAATTGCAGTCTTGAATAACAAAGGGTCTGTTATTGATACAACGGAAGAGGGAAGGTGGTTCCAATCGGCGGCTGTTTTCGGTAAGAAGGCTGCTGAAAAGAATTTGGTGCGGCAAAACGGAATGGCAACCTTATGCTGATGATCAATGCGCGATGAGTGGTATGACGGTTGTGAAATGAGGTCTCGCTTCATTGATGGATTGTGAAAAAATATCTTATGAAAAAAATGCAGTCGCGCCAGTTTCCTCCGGACAGTTAAATTGGGTAGGTCAAGGTTAGATTTCATTTCTGATATGCTAGCAGTACGGGAATAATTAGAACAAATGAACCGAACTGAGCGGTTCTGAACAGATTCTAACGCGTTAATTAAATTTTGCTGCACGGGATCCCATATAGCGGACGCGTACTCAAGCTTTGGGCGAATTAGTGATCGGTATAATAGAATTTTGAGGGACAGCGGAGCGCGAGAAAAGTTGCGGCGTAAGTATCCTAGCGTTCGGTTAGCGTTATTACAGATGTAGGTAACATGCGTGTGCCAAGATAGATTGTTGGTAATGTAAACGCCGAGGTACTTATATGAAGAGACATGCTGGAGGGGAACGGCGTTAATTCTGTAGGTACAGGGGGGAGAAATAGATCGCCGGGTTATTGACATGCATTTAGATTTGTTAGAGTTGAGAGTCATAAGCCATTTATTGCACCAGGTTGAGACAGTGTCAAGGTCTGACTGTAGAAATTGGTTATCATATTCATTGTTTATTTCGCGGTAAATTACACAATCATCTGCAAATAACCTTATAGCGGAGTTAATGCTGTCTGGGAGATCATTAATATATATAAGAAAGAGTAAAGGGCCTAATACGGAACCTTGGGGTACGCCGGATGTTACTTTAGAAAGAGGTGAGTTATAGCCATTAGTTGTTACAAACTGAGTGCGATTAGTCAGAAAGCATTCAATCCATTTAAGATTGTTCGGGTCAATGTTTAAGGCACTAATTTTCAGGAGGAGTAATTGGTGAGGTACTTTATCGAAAGCTTTTTGAAAGTCAAGAAAAATGCAATGCACAAGTGAGCCGCGATCTAAAGCCGATCCTATGTCATTAGTAAAATAAAGAAGTTGGGTTTCACATGAGTAACTTTTTCGGAATCCGTGCTGGTAGGGAGTAAAAAAAGAATTTGATTCTAGGAATGAGACAAGGTTGGAGTAAATTATATGTTCTAACATTTTACAAGGAACACTGGTTAGGGAAATTGGTCTGTAATTGAGAGGAGACTGTGTGTTACCAGATTTGTGCAGAGGGACCACCTTCCCCACCTTCCAGTCAAGCGGCAAAGTGGAGGTCTGAATAGATTGCGAAAAGATTAAGGACAAGTAAATTGATGAATACAATGCAGTGTTTTTTAGAAACTTTGAGTTGATTTCATCTACGCCACAAGAAGAGGATAACTTAAGCTTGTGAATTAAATTTTGCACTCCAACGGCATCAACGGTAACAGGATACATGGGTAAAAAATCACGACTAGGCATTTGCGGCAACGCAGAAGCAGAACTACTTGAAAAAGAAGTAACAAAAAAATCATTTAATGCAATGCAACACTCTTCACAGCGAACTGGCTGCCCATCTGAGTTCGTAAGCGAAATGTTTATCTTTTCCCTAGGTTTAACAGTTTTCCAAAACTTAGAAGGGTTGGTTACAAGAATTGAAGGAAGGGTATCATTAAGAAAAACGCGCTTGGCTTCCTTGATATAGCTGCTCTGTATTCGGAAAGGACAGATTTGTACACGTGCCAACGGGCTAACGAATTAGTCTGCTTTGCCTGACGGAACAACCGTTTCTTTTTATTCCGCAATTTTTTTAAGTCAGTTGAGAACCAAGGGGGGCGTTGGCGACCCTTGATAACGTATGTGGGAATGTATCGCGTGATTAAAGATTCAATTTTCATTTTGAACAAGTTCCAGTTTTGTTGAACGCTGCGATCAAAGAAGCCATCAGCAAAGCTCTCAAAATTCGATTCGAGTTCACTGTTGA